ATAGTGTTGTTAAACGGCTCGATTTAGCTGATTATTAAAATGGAGAAATCAGGTTTTAGCCAAAATAATATTATTTACGCCTCAAAATTTCGCCTACAGATATCCAAACTATTTTGCCATCTATGAACAAAACCTCACTGCTAGGGTTATATTTTTTTGGTTAAAATTTTGAGTTAATCATTTTAAAAATAGGCAAATTTAGCAGTACGGTTTACGGTAATTAGCTGACTCGAAAAAAAATTGATTTTATGATTATAAATAAATTTTTATTGATATTAATTAAATTATAAATATGTAAATTGCATATTTTTTTGATCGTTCATTCCTTCATTTTAAGGGATAGATGGTCGGGTATGAAAGTTTTCCTACCATTAAAAAGATATTTTTGAAGTCATCGAACTTTATCAGCACTGTTAAAGAGATTTTAGTTTTACCATCATTTCAAATATATACAACCGATGTATGTTAAACAGGAAGTTATTGAAAAATTACTATTATTTATAAAAAATTGTGAGTAAATTAAAAATAAAATATTATTTTATTAATACTATATTAATTCATTCCATTTTTTTAATTCTATAAGTATTCAACCTTTTAATTATAATTATTTACATTTTGTGATATATATTTTACTAAAATTGTGTAAAACGAGAACCATATTTACCAACATTATTTTAGCCTTTATATTATATAAAATTCAACATTTTAAAAGGTAATTGTAATTGGGTATAAGTAATTACTTGTAGTCGGTATTCTATTATTAATATACAAAAAGTAATTATAGTTAAATAAAAATTTTAAATAATTTTATTGATAAATTTAAAAAAAAAATTGTTTCCAACCTTGTTTTTAAGTATAATTTAAATAAAAAAATTTAAGGAAAAAAAGAAGAATCTAAAAAAATAAATATATGTATTAATTCAATTAGAGAGGAAAGGGGGAGGCTAATAATAATGAACAGACATGGGCAAATACTCAAACAAAGTATTTCGTTACACGGCTAAAATACTTTCAAAAGTGGAAAAAGTTATCGTTGTTAAATTACATATATTATATTTCATTCAAGATACATGCGTTAAATTATGTAAATTTTAAAATCCATGTATTAAAAATTGCTAATTGGAAGCTGTTTTTTAAAAAAAAGTTTTTGGATATTTTACTAATTGAATTAATTAAAGGGAAGTTATAGTTTAAACGGATATTTATATATTTTTAACGTAAAAAAAAATTAGTTGGCAATATACATATTATATATAAACAACGGAACGGATCTTTATATATAATTATAATAAAAGTTAAATATATAAACATATAAGTGAAACGAATTTATAAGTCAAATAAAATGTATATATAATGTAAAATTGTAAATAAAATCAAATGATAAATTAGTCCCTTCAAAGACTACTAATTTTTCAATAAGCATTTTATGCAAACATCATCTATTTGGTTTGTTAATAAACCGGAAAAAGAGGACAATCTTTTAGAGGTGCTCTTAATTGAAGGATACTTACATAGAATATCGACTTTATGAGATGGATCTAGCCATAAATTTTTCATCTATCCGATCCGATATTCCAAAAATAACCACAAAACCGATCCAATTTAGATTGATTTATTTAATATCTTTGAAGCAATTGTCATAAAAAGAATAAAATAAATATTTTTTTATTAAAAAAACTAACTATAACAAATGATTAAGTGTATTTTTTTTATTCTCCAAAAGATAATCATCTTATTTAATATGGCCATGTTTATGGCTGAATGTTTATCAAAGGACTCGATTTTTGAAACAGCTAAATCAAGTTTAAGCAAACTATGTCAATTCAGCGAAACATTTATCAAAAATGTTTATTACATCGAAAGAATTTTATAGTGAAACTTTTCGAATTCACATTCGTAAATACTATATCGCAAATTTATTATAGCGAACTCTTTTGAGCTAATACATAATAGCGACACATTTTATAGCGAAGACAGTATATTGAAAACTATTTTGCGAATTCATTACCGTGAAAACATTAGCGTCAAAGCAATACTGCTATAAATGCTAATAGTGTTTATTTTATTTTAAAATATTTATTTTTTTTTGACCTTAATAAATTTATATGATTCTCGAGCCTAGAATTGGCTTAAGAAATTAATCATATAAATATAATTTTTTGTGCTATGCTATCCCATTTACTCGTAGTTTAAGAATTGCGCCCAAGTTTTAAGAATATATTAAGCAATGGATTCATTAGTTAATCCCTACTAGTGAAAGAGATATCTGGTGGCGCCAATATTTAAGCCTTTTTAATACTATATTAAACTATCAATCAGTTTTGCGTTGCTAACATAAATAATACATTGTACCTTAGATTGCTTCTTTATAGAATTTTGAATCGCGTTTTTAAATCAATTACATCCATAAAAATTTTTTTTTCATATTCATTTGTGTTAAATAACTTAATTAGTCATGTTCTGATATTGGAACCCCGAAACTATTTTTTCAATATTGTCCTAAAACCGATGCAATCCACGCAATTAGGCAAATGAGTGAAAAATACAGGGAAAAGAACAAAAAGCTACACATGGTCTTTCTCGATCTAGAAAAGGCCTTCGATAGAATCCCAAGAAAACTTATCTGGTGGGCGCTACGACACAAAAAGGTTCCCGAAAAATATATAAGAATAATACAGGATATGTATATGGGCCATACAACAATGGTCCGTAGCACAACAGGTACTTCAGCAGGCTTCACAATAGCCGAAGGAGTTCATCAAGGGTCGGCTCTCAGCCCACTTTTCTTCATTACAGTAATAGATGTATTAGCCCGTGGATATTTGCAGATGATATTGTGATACTTGCCGAATCTAAAGATGAAATGAAAGAAAGATTAGTGAGTTGGACAAATATCCTAGAAACGCACGGATTAAAAGTAAATAGAGAAAAGACGGAGTATATGGTGATAGGAGGAGATGAAACAGAGAGTATTGATATAAATGAATGGCAGATATCGGCAATTGAAAGCTGCAAATAATTGGGCTCCACTATACAAACAAACGGCACAATAGAAAAAGAGATAAAGAGTAAGATTAATCAAGGGGTGGTTAAAGTGGAGATCTTAATCTGGAGTTCTATTTGACAAAAGAATCCCACACAAATTAAAGGGAAAAATTTACAGTTCCATAGTACAACTAACTATTCTATATAGTTCGGAAACATGGCCAATCAAAGAATCAGACGAGAGAAGTCTACAAACTATGAAGATGAGAATGTTGAGGATGATTGCTGGGGTAACAAGAAAGGATAAAGTGTGCAGTACAAGAATACTAAGTAGTTTAAAGGTAGTGCCCATTAAGACTAAGTTAATGGTAAACAGAATTAGGTGGTATGGGTACACAATGAGAAGGCCTATGAACTACATAGGAAATAAAGTTGAGAGTTTGGAAGTGATGGGCAAACGTAAAAGAGGAAGGCCATAACTTCAATGGGACCATAAAGTTAGAGCCAATATAAAGAAGTATAAATTAGATAAAAGAGATTGTATGAATAACATAAAGTGGAGAAAGATGTTGAAGGAGCTTACCACCAGAAAAGGTGAAAGCTAAAGAGAAAAAAAAATTCTTATAATAATTACTATAATACATTTATTTTGCCACTATTGGAGAATAAAGATTATCAAGCAATATTAACTTACTTTGAATCAACTAGCGATGAAATTCAAAATAAGGAGAGAGATGAAGGTTTTATAATAGATAATCTTAGTGATATAGGCAATTATAATCTCAGGGAAAGTTTATATTGATGAAATAGATAAAATCATCCAAATCAAAAAACTAAAATTATAAACTAGAATGCAAGTAATTTTATTCGATAATATCCCTACTCTTTCTTTAAAATCATTACAAATTTATCTAATCAAATAGAATATTTTGAGATTTCAAAACCTTTTTTCAAAATATAACATATTGGACGTTATATCAGTATTTTTAATGCCGAGTAAGGCAAAAATTCGAAGCATTTCAAAATATTTGATAAAATTTTAATGGTATAAACGCATTTTTTGAATTTTCAAAATTTATGCTGGAAGAGGGTGGGGGATTAATTTATTGGGGTAAAAAAACTGAACCCAAAGTGCTATACTTACAACTATGGACGAGGGAGACCAGGAATAAGTTAATTTTTCTTCACGTCATATACAAGTCGTATTTAAGCCAACTCTTGCTTATTTTAATAGACAATAAGTAAAGAAATATCCTTAAAATATTTTCTGTTTAAGATTTAAGATTGTGAGTAAATGATTATTGCATATGTTTGCTTTTAATAAATGCATTTGCACTATATTTATAGTTTAGCGATAATGAATATGCGCACATTCGCAATAAAAAGCTCGCTATAAAAGATGACGCCATAAGTTTTGCGATAAAAGTTTTGCTAAAATGAATTCGCTCGAAAGTGTTATCATAAATAAATTAGTAATATCGTCTTTGCTGTGTGGAATTGGTTTAGTGATATTATCTTAGCGATTAAAGTTTCGCTGAATTGACCTGATATGAAATACTATTATTTAAGCCTCGAAATTTAGCTTAATAGCTCAAACCTTTCTATTATCTGTGGAAAAAATATCTAATTGTGGAATTTATTTTTATAAAATCTTAGTTTAGCCGTTTTTAGATTGGCAAACAAACTGTTAGCCACACTAGTTAATTAAAAAGGAAGTTTATTTTTATTTGTTATTAAGAGAAAACACTATATCCAATATAATTTATACATAATAATAAATACTATATTGAAATAAGTTAATACTTTATTATTTATAAAATAAGTTAATAATATTTATTATTTATAAAATAATAAAACAATTATCTATAATTGGTGGAATAAATTTAATAATATATTGAAATAAGTTAATATTTTATTATTTATAAAATAAGTTAATAATATTTATTATTTATAAAATAATTAAACAATTATCTATAATTAGTGGAATAAATTTAATAATATATTATTTAATTTTTTAGATATTATGACTAGTTAAAGTTTGGTGCTTATAATCTATTATATTTTAAATAAGCATATTTTTTCTTTAAAATACTCAAAATTTTCTTCATACCCATTATCTTCCAGATCATTCAAAAATGCAATATAATATTCAGGAAATTTATGTTCCTTAGCTCCATTTATAATTACATTTTTATATAATTTTGAGGGAGTTTTACATTCATCTTTTAATTTAAGCACATAAGCAAAACAGCAATATTTTTTATCCCCACTCTTAGAATCACATTCTATATCTAGGATATCATAAACGCCTTCATTGATATTTTCTTGACTGAAAATTTTTCTATTAAATAAAGATAATAAATAAATACATGTCCAGTTTAGATTTATCTTCATTTTCAATTAACCATATAACACCCCATACAATATCATTTGGAGATGGAACAATTGTAGCACATGCTCCTTTCCATCTCTTTGAGTGAAGAGCAAAGTCTAGTTTATAATTCTATAGAATGAATATAATATTTATTTTAATAAAATTAAGATAACTTTAACATATCCGATATCAACAAAATTAGCCGTTGTGATTGATAACTTTAAACGTTCAGAATTGATGTTACTTCCATAAGCAAAATAATATAATTTATTAGATAAACCACTCATAAATTTTAAGAAACAGCTTGACAACTAAAGTTACCGTTGTAACTAAACTGAGAATGGACAGGTAAACTGAAAATTGACAGGTAAAAATTATTTTAATTGATACAGTGAAACGAGTGCCATTATTAAATATGTGGTAAACAAAGCAAGATTTTATTTTAATTTAATACATATTGAAATTAATAGACAGGCAATTAATTAAGATTAAACGTCATCTCTAAATATAAAAAGAAATTATGTTGGAAATTTAATTTAAAATAAAATGTTAAATATTTATAAAGTTTTTTTAAATTTTTCTAAAGTAATAAAAAAAATGTTTAATATAGAATTTTTATTATACAATAGTAATATAAATTTTTCCAATTTAAATGAAAACTCCTAATCTTCGTCGAGAATTAAAAGACCAAAAAGAATACACAAATATTGGAACCAGCGTCTACATGAGCGTAGGGGGGGGGTAGGAACAGTTTGCATCCTATTTTTTTGAGGAGGTAGGGGGTAATCTGCTTTAATGGGGGTAGGATAAATTTTTTGGGGGGTTATCTATTAAATTTTGAGATGAAATAGGACAAAATTTATTGCTGTAAAAATTAATACTTTTATTATAATATTATTATAATACAATTCATCGACCAAATCAATATATTGCAAACAATCATACACATTGTTTTCCAAATAAACTATCCTTTTAAATATAATTTAAAAGGTTTAGATATTTCAGCAAGCTCATAATGCCATAATAATTAATTCATTGTAAATAATGGAGGTTTTAATTGAATTTATTATCTAAAAAATAAATTCTTTATATTCACAAAATATCGATAGTTGGTAGTAGAGATAGATTAATTTAAGTTATCCTTTATAAATTCTTTGAAAAGAGTATCAATAAATAAATAGGTGAAAATAATGATAATAAGGCACCGCCGCCAAAGGCGCGGGGGAATTTTTTAGGGGGTAGGCAAAGGTTTTTAGAGGGGGGTTGCATCCAGTGAAAATCCTGTCATGTAGACGCTAATTGGAACAAAGAAAAAATGGATGTAGTTACTAAAATGTTATCAATGCCTTAAAAACAACTAATGAAAATCTAAAATATCGTGAAATACGTTAAAATGTATATGGCAACGGTTTATAAATTTAGAAGCGACACATTCACAGAAATAAATGAAGTTACTTTAAAAGAATACAATATTCAAAAAAGAAAAAATGGATGCAGTTAATAAAATGTTATCAATGCCTTAAAAACAACTAATGAAAATCAAAGATATCGCGAAATACGTTAAAATGTCTACGGCAGCTGTTCAAAAATTTAGACGCGACAGACGCGACACATTCTCAGAAATAATTCAAAAAAGAAAAATTAAGAAAATTAGTTCTTCCATAATTGAACGATACATCAGCTTATTAATGGAAAATAACATTCTTATTATCCGAGATTATGGAAAATTTGCTATTTGGAGTCCAAAAACGAAAACAACACAATTAGTAAATATATCAAAAATATAGGTTGGTGTAAAAAAGAGCTAGCAAGGAGCCTGGTAGAAGAAATACTCCTGGGACTATTAATATTAATCTAGTGTAAAGATCTTTAATATCCCAAGAGAAAACTTATATTTCTTAGATGAAACTGTAATAAACTTGCATGGTGTTAGTGTCTACATGGCCGGAGTGGGTAGGAGACAAATGTATCAAAGATATATTGGCTTTTTGAGGGGTAGGCATAGATTTTTTGGGTAGATATTTTTTTGATATAGTAGGCATTATTTTTTTGGGGTAGGTATTGATTTTCGGGGGGATAGTTTTTGATTTAAATTATTTTTTTTATAAAATTCATTTAATAAAATTTTAAAAAAAAAAATTTCTTTTTTTTGAATTTTTAGCCTTCTTATTAATTTTTTACCATAATATTTTACAATTTCACACGTAAAATATTAATATTATTCTTAATTGTTAATTTTCTAAAAGTAAAGAGGTTAACATATATGATTAATTTTAATAAAAAATTTCAGTAAGAATATAATAAATCATTTAAAATTTTAGAAAGAACTTTAAATATTATTATTGAAAATAGATTTTCGATAGGTAAACAAACTTTAACTATATTCTTTATTTAATAAAATAATTAACTAAAATCCAAAGTTCAGATTATATTTTCTTCTCATTTAATGATCATGGAGTGGTCCAAACAGATCTTCAATCGTCGATTGATTATTAGCAAGAATGAGAGATTTAATTGTTTTTTCTAGCCTAAATAGGCATGAAAGGATGTAAATAAATTTTTGTTGTGAGATTATAAATGGTAGCCTATTATAAGATTCTATTTATTAATATTACTATTATGGTGATTTGGCGAATAACGCGGCCAAAGGTCGTGGAATCTTTTAGGGGGTAGGGATAAATTTGTAGGCGGGTTTGCCTCTATCAAATTTTCTGCCATGTAGACGCTGCATGGTATATTCATCATATCCCGAGGGCCATACAATGTCCCCCCAATAATCCAAGGGTAAAAATGTAAGCATACTTTGTACAATTAGAATTGGAGGGGTAATCCCTTATACAATAATCGAAGGAGCTTTTAATGGGGCATTATTCCGTGATTCTATGATATAGTTTATTATTAGATTACTACCGGATGCAATCATTATAATGGATAATGCTTATATCCATATAATTCATCTTATCGATGCTTATAAAGGAAGAATTGATCTACCATATTCACCTCAGCTAAATCCCACCAAATTTTTTTTTGAGTCTTGAAAATGAATATCCATCAATCACCGTCCTAATTCAAGAGATAAAATTGTTGGGAATATTATTCAGCTCTTACATGTATTTATTATTCCTTATGATTTTACTAACACTTTTACAATCACATGCAAAATTATTTGACTATTTAATTAGGTAATACTGATAATTGATTTGTATTAATAATTTTAATGTTAACTCTTTTATGCTCTAAAAAGGTACTATTATAGAAAGGAACAAATGGTATGATTTGATAAATGTTAAATATATTTTTTTTTATGTATTTATTATTTTATCGAATATATTAGAAAAGTTTATAGTATCATTTATCGAAATAATTATATACAAAATTGCAAAATAAATTACATTTAAGAAATTCTAAAAATTTTTCAAATATAAAAAATACTTTTTACCTTACTAGAACATTTTCAAAGAATATCAAAAAAAAATTTTCATTTTTCATCACAATTAATATATTTACAACATAATTTCTTTTTACTTTATTATTTAAACATGACGTTTAATCGTAATTAATTGCTTGCCCATAATTTAATTTCAAAATGTATTAAATTAAAACAAAATCTTACTTTGTTTACCCACTTTTATTGTATATTTAGTAATGATACTCGTTTCACTGTAGTCAATCAATTATATTTTAAAATTAGTTGTTTTACTATATAACTCAAAATATAAATTTTTCTAAATTAATAAAATAGCAAATGGAAAAACCTCATTTTACACAATACTTTACAAAATTATTGAAATATACAGAGCCGCAACCATAATCAAAGCGACCATTGGAGTGGTGGGGGAGGGGGGTCGACTGATTTCGAAGGTCCGGAAATTTTGGGGAAGGGAGCTGGGGGATCCCATTTTGCGGGGATTTCGCTCATCGTACTAAAATCTACAAAACAAAAGTAAAGAACAACAATTGACCGGTAATTGGCAACCAAAGTCCCATTTGTTTTTATAACCGTGACGGCATCCTCTACCCTTCAACCTAATTTAGAATATAATAAAGGAATGGATTGCTCCGCACCACAGGACTAGTGCGGATTTTAATTTACCTATTTTGGGGAACCGCATGGGGCCGATCAACGGTATTCGGAGTTTTTTTTGGGTTAAAGTAAAAATCAAGCAAACAATATTTTTTTATTATTTTTTTTATCGGAATTCATGATATCTTTATTTCGAATCAAACATTACAATTTTCAGAAGTAATTATTTTTCTAGACAAAATTCGACGTAAAATAAAAATAAGATATAAAACAAATTACATATGATCACTTATATATATATATAAAGAATTGTTCGAAAACACCTTTTGTTCTAGCAATAATTAATTTGACTTGGACCAGTTTCAAATGGCTTTTGGTCGTGAGAAAAATAATAAACAATATTTTATATGAATTAATGGTCGTGGGGAAAAAAATGTAAAAGAAACTAGTAAACAATTTGTTTTCTCAAACAAATGATATAAATGGGGATAACTAATAAAAAAAAGGGGGATATCTAAAGAAAATTTTGTCAAACATAACAATTATAACAAAACATCTCCATCTTTCGGACTTGGAATTTTTAAGGAAGTATCCTTTCAATATTTGCTTTTCCTTAAAAGTTGCTAATAAAATATCATTAAATTTTATATATTTAATTATTTGTTAGATTTTTAAGATAATCTTTTCTATAAAACGTATTTGGCATAAATCATTAATAAGCAGCTTCAAGCCATGTGCGGCACATCCAATGTATTCAATATAATTATGACTTAACCAGACTCCAGGTATTTTTCGTATTCTTTGCTTTATCGATTACTAGTGAGATAGATTTTTTGCTACCATTTTCTTCAATTAACATCATCAGCTCAGATGCGATATAATAATCAGTGTGAGCACTAGATCATGTGTCAATGGGTTTATCACAAATGTTTATCAAGACATCCCTAATGAGAGTAGTAAAATCTTTCAAAATATCGAATTTGTTGTTGATAATATTAGTCATATTAATTCAAAATCTAATAAAGTTTTGCTAATTTGTGCTGATTATGGTTACTTTGTTTTGTTTACATCTGGCTACCATATATTTTGGTTTCCTTCATACGTACCATTCCTAGCTCTATGGATCTCCTTTAATATTGGCCTTTTTTAATGTTTTATTTTTTAATGTTTTAGGTATTATTAATCGATTATCCCGCAGAGGTATATCGTCTGTGACTGAAATTCGTTGAGTATGGAGAAATGTATGAATGTTTTTTGGGTAATAATTATATTAAGTCATCGTTGGTGCATATATCCTTTTAGTTCCACATCCTTTTTTGTATGCATC